GAATCTGGTAGGGATCAGAAGGTATTTGGCCATCTTGGGTCACTAATGCCCAGTTCTTTGCACCTTTCTTCTGGAATACAAGTCCTCTGCCCCTCTGGCCAGAAGGCAACGAATTCCCCAGCTTTGGAGCCTGGCAAAATGCTGAGTGCCTGCACCATGGGGCTGTGCAGCAGCTGTCACCTGGCCTGCCAGGAGACATGCTGAGGATTTTCATCTCTTGGCATTAAAATCAGGTCCCAGGCATGGGCCATTGCTAGTTGGTGACCTTCAAGCCAAACTACAGGAGTAGCTCTCAGCTGTGCCCCATTCTGCCTCCGCCTCATATGGTCAGCTGCTTAGAGGAGAGGAGCCCTCACCCAAAGTCTCACCTTTTCTGGCTCCTTGCCTGGTCCAGGAGCTGTCCAGTCACACTGGCACACAAAAGCAGGAGCCTTCTCTCTCATTCCCCACAGCCTCCCAGTGCCAGGCCTAGAAAATACTTGTGTTACGAACTAGTGGCTGTGGTTCTGTGGGTCCTCCAGAGGTTCTGAGGCCCAATGAGGTGGGGCTCAGCCAGAACTTCCCTGGGAAGTAGAAGAGCCAGGGCAGATAATGGAGGCCTGCAGGTGGGTCCAGAGAGAGGGCAGTGCAGACAGGGCTTGACTTCCAAGAAGGGGCAGGCAGGGTTCAGGGCTTGAGAGCAGAGTGCTTAGGAAATAGGTACACTGTTGTCTTGCTGAGTTGAGCAGAAGCTCTTAAACACAAGTGTCGGTGGCCAGAGCCCCATGCCTCTGTCCCTACAGTGTGCAGAGGACAGAAGGCTCTGCGGTTGAGATGAGCATTAGAGAAGAGCCCAGCTTGCTTGGATCCAAATGGTGGTGTCTGAGCCTTCGGGGAGTGCTTGCTCTTGCTGGCCTGGGTGCTACCCATGCGAGTGCTGCCCTGGCCAGGCCCTCCCGGGAGGTGTCAAGCCCCTTAGCATCTTTGCTAGTCCCTCCAAGCTGGGCTGCTGAGTTTTCCTAGCTCCTCTCCGGCCTCTTTGTGGTCTGCAGCCTGCTCCAGAGCCACTGAGGCAGGTGAAGTCCGAGCTGGGTTGAGGATGGGCCCTGCAAAAAGCTGTGACACACTTCTCCGCATCACCAGGGCGCTGGCATCTTGGGGTTTTCCTGTGCCTTTGTGATGAGCCCTGTCTTTTGTCCTCCTTGTTCCAGGGAAGAGCTCACCCAGGGACTGGCTCATAGGCCTGGGGTGTCTTTTGGTTCCTTGCCCTTGCTTTGTGCCTCTCAGAGCTCTGACAGGGCCCTTGGAGGTTTATGGCTGCAGCCTCAGGGTCCAGCCCAGGGGCCCTGGTAGTTGCCCACAGCTATCTTTTTTTTGAGTGGAAAAAGAAGACACAATAACTTTTGACATGTAGTCGTCCTCAGTATCTATGTAGGATTGGTTCTAGGACCACTGCTCTTAGACCCCAAAACCCACAGGTGCCAAGTAGCTTGATGAAACCATGCAGGATTTGCACATCACCCATGTGTGTCTTTCTTTGCACTTTAAGTCATTTTAGGTTACTTACAGCACCTGGTACAGTGTGAGCATGATGTAAATAGTTGTTACCCTATATTATTTAGAAATACTGACAAGAAAAGTCTGTACCTATTCAGTATAGGTGAATTTTGTTTCCTGAATATTTTGAATTGTCAGTTGGTTGAGTCTGTGGCTATAGAGGGTCAGGCCTGTGTAGTTAGTCTATTACCAGGTAATGGGCATAAAAGGGAAGCTCAGGAGGACTCAAAGCAGGGCCAGAATGACTAAAAGCTGAGACCCTTGGTCCTTCAACCCAGAGGGCAATCTGGGCTTCAGTTTCCGTAGCTGGTGGCCAAGCAGAGCCATCCCTCTCCTCATGGGCCTCCCAAGCCCTCTGACTGCCTTCTTCCTCCTTTTCCATGTAGAAGAGATTGTCGCCCATGCCAGCAATGTGTCCTCGCTGGTGTTGGGCAAAGCTTCGGGACGGCTTCTGGCCACGGGTGGGGATGACTGCCGAGTCAACCTGTGGTCCATCAACAAGCCCAACTGCATCATGGTGAGTCTCAGGGTGGTGGAGGTGGGGACAAGCACCGTGGTGGGCCGGGAGCAGATGGCTTCCCGGGTACTGTAGACCACATGACTCCCATCCTCTGGGGCCAGCTTAGGCAGGGAACGTGCACAGCACACTGTCATGCCACCCCTGGCTGTCTGCTTGGGAAGCCCCAGGACGGTTGGGATGGTGACTGGTCTCAGGAATAGGGAAACCACCTGGCTGTGGAACAGAATTTGGGTCTGCGTGGGAAAGTTCAAATAAACCCCTCTCCATGGCCAAGGCAAAAGTCTTGTGCCTCCCCCCTACCCTGTCACCTGCGTGGGGATGTTCATTTGGATTCTTTCCCAACCTCAGTCCACAAAAAGGATTTGCAGGGACCCTACTGGCGCTGGTTAGGGAGCTAGTTCTTTTAGCAGCAACTTTCCCTGGTTACATAACCAGATCCGGGACTGGAAAGTGCCTTCCAGTGCAACATAAAGGAAAAAAAACATAACGTTTAATCACAGACAGTTCTATTTTCCAAGACCAGTACCATTGGTATTTTGATCTGTGCCTTTCTAGGTGTCGAAATACACATACACTTGCACGCACATACATAAAAATATATCTTCCAATTACTGTCTTACTCTTGTGTAACCTGGTCTTTTAGAATTAACAATATTGTGAGAATTTTCCTATGTCAACAAATATTCTTTTACAACATGATCTTTAATGGCTTCCTGGTATTCCACTATAGGGATGAGCTGTAATTAGCTTCGCCACACCCTGTTATCAGCAAGAGTCTGAGTCCAGGTTTTTGGCTCCGCTAACCCACACTGTGCTTAGCATCCGCGTCTACCCAGTGGGTTGGCGATCACTGCATTTAATGCAAGGGCGTGCACTTTTAAAAAGCTTTCAAAACATCTTGCCAAATTGCCCTCGAAACCAGTCTACATTCTCAGCAGCACTATAGGAACTCAGCCCACCCCCATCCTTGCCAACACAGGGAATTATTCTTTTGACTCTTGATCAAATAAACATAAGTAAATGGGAGCTGACATTTATCAGTAGAAAGATAATCACTTTGGTGTTTCTGTGAGACCCTCCCAGGCCACAGCTAGAACTGAGATTCCATTTTGATTTTACTGTGTAGTGTTCAAATGTTTTCTTTCCCCCTGAAATGCCAGACACATACACAAGTTGGAAAAATTCAGCAGAGATCAGAAATAGGACCTGAACTGACGCACGCTATCTTTCCCTAGAGCAGCATGGTGAAGTCTGAGGCCTGGCCATCAGATTTCTCTTTGGACACCAGATGCAGCCTTCAGGCCCCCAGCTGGCTCTAACTTGTATCTCTGTCCCCTCACTCGCCACAGAGCACTCACTCTGCCTTTGGGTACCACAGACCCGCTGAAGTCTTCCCTCTGGGCTTTTGTACCTGTGCTACTCCCTGTGCAGATGGTCTGCTTCATTTACTTGTGTTTACCTTTGAGTAAATGGGACGCACATGTGGCTCAACATTGGAAAGATAGTGAACAGTAAAGTCTTTCTCTCTCCCCTGACTCCGTGCTATGTCTTTCTAGACTTGTTTTCAGGATGGACAGACAAATGTATTATGTTTCCTCTCCCACATTTTTACACAAAGGGTATCAACTACATATGCCATTCTCCATATTTTTTCACCTGAAAGTCTCGGGAGATTAATCCTTTATCAGATTTAAGGTTTGCCTTATTCTTTGTGGTATGTATGGGGATTGAACCCAGGTCCTTCACACTGAACTACATCTCCAGGCTTTTTTATTTTTTGGGACAATCTCCCTAAGACACTAAGTTGCCCAGGCTGGGCTTAAATGTGCAATAATCCTCTTGCTTCAGGCTCCCCGAGTGCTGGGATTATAGGCACGCAGCACCACACACCACTGCCTCATTCATTTCAGTGGCTAAATCATTTTCCATTGCGCAGGTGACAGTGGACACCACCACTTAGCCAGTGAGACTCATTGCAGCAGATAACCTTGGGTTTGTGTTTCAGGGGCTTGCACACGGCAACGGCTAACTCCCCAACATGGAGATGCTCTTTTAAAGGGAATGTTCCTCATGTGGGTGGGGTTTGCCCAGTTGTGGTCTAGAGAGTTTCTACCCATTCAGGCCCCTGCTGGAGCTGGGTGGGAGTTGGACAAGCTACATATAAGTGTTGGGCCTTGTGGGTAGATCTGCTGAGGAACAGGTCCCCTCCCTGATTCCCAGTGGAAATGTTAGCTTAGCAAGCTCTGATGGAGTCGCCATGGTGCCTTGGGGTGGCCAGGATCAGGCAAAGAATGGCAGACACCATCGACTTAGTTTCCAGCCCCCTCTCCAGAAAGCTGGAGATGCTGGTGCCTACCACACTCTGAGTGGCCGGCCCAGGGGCAGCCCAGCCCAGCTTTGCCTGCTGTGGGTGGGTGAGAACCCACGTGTCCTCCAGAAGAGCCTCTCCCAGGCCCCCTGGGTTCTATGGCCATGTGTCTGACTGGACTGAGCAGCCCCCTGAGCCAAGACCAAAGGGGTGAGATGAACCTGCCATGGCTTCCCCGCTGACTGCAGTGCCAGGCAGTGAAGATGCGAGCACCCTAGGCAAAGGTCATTTGGATTTAGGACCAGAGGGTTGGTGTCCCTTTCTTTATCTTTTTTTTTTTTTTTTTTTTTTGAGACAGGATCTTGTTATATAGTTCAAGCTGGCCTTGAGCTCACTATGTAGCCCAGGCTGGCCTTGAACTCACATCAGTCCTTCTGCCTCAGTTTCCCAAATGCTAGGAGTATAGGTGTGTGCCACCATGCCTGGCTAAGGGCCTTTCTTTATCTTGATGAGCTGCTCCCATTTCTCTTGGTGACACCCACACCAGGAGCACCATGGGAGGAGGTTGGAGGTTGACTGGGGTTCTCTTGTAGTCCTGCAGCTGCATCTAGGAAAAATGGCCACACAGAAATGGTCTGCAGGAGGGTCAGGGTGTGGGCCCATAGAGCAGCCTCCCTCCCTTCGCCACTTCTCATTGAAGGCTTTCCCTGGGACCCTAGACTTGAGACAGCAGCTGGGGGGTGTCCCTGCAGTGCACCGAAGCTGCCACCCTCTCTCCACAGAGCCTGACTGGTCACACGTCCCCAGTGGAGAGTGTCCGCCTCAACACTCCCGAGGAGCTCATTGTGGCTGGCTCGCAATCGGGCTCCATCCGCGTCTGGGACCTGGAAGCTGCCAAAAGTAGGCCCCTCATTCGCCATTCACTGTCCTTGCTCACATGCCGGGTTCATTCTTGGGCTCGGGCGGAGTTGCACTGCGTTTTCTATCTGACCAGATGGTGTGGCGCCCACCTGCCTGTTACAGCCTGGCAGCAGCGTGGGCTGTTGTCACCTGATTGTTGGCACTGAGAGGTGCTGAGAATGTCTGAACGCACAGCCATGGGAAAGGGCAGATGCGCAGGTGGGGGGTGGGTGGGTCTGGATTTGGAAACTGGAGAGATGTCAGCTGCTGCTGGGAGCTTTGCAGGACACTGGGGTGAGTGGGCGGCTCTGTGAAGGGCTGGGAAGTGGACGGTGTGCCCAGCTTGGGCAGGCCGGCACTCAGCCCCGCTCAATTACTGCAGAGATTCGTGCCTCAGGTGGCTGGGTCTTCTGTTGCTTGTAATGTTTGTCTGATTTAGGTTTTCTCTGGATAGAAATGTAAATGTGTGGTTCCCAGTGCAGAGCCGTTGTAGAGTCAGTTGTGGGGGAAGCAGGAAGCCTAGGCCACCCCTTCTCATTCTTTGAACCCTCCCCTTCCTGTCCTTCACCTGTCATTGCGCTGTGGCCTCCACTTTTCTAAACAAAGTGACTCTGCACTCTCTTTTCCTTTTTTTAATAAATGTGCACATTAAGTACTTCCTGCTGGGGGAGCCAGGGTTTGGAAGCCGCATAGCCATCCCAGCCACAAAGCTCACATTTTTCTATCCCTCCTCCAGTATCACCATTTAGGTGGTCAGCATTTTTTGTTTGTTCTTGTTTGTTTGATTTTTTTGTGAGGTTTCTTGCTTTGCATTTTTGAGACGGATTGGATTGGACTGTGTAGGAAGTGGACCAGGCTGGAAGAGGACCAAGCTGGCCTCAAACTGGGGCAGTTCTCCTGCCTCAGCCTCCCATCTGCTGAGATTACAGATGTGGGCCACCACGCCCAGCTGTGGTCAATGTTTATGCCATAGGGGCAGCAGGAATTGTCATTCACAACTGGTTATGTTTATAACCTTGTTTCCCTGGAGTTAATAATTGTTCCTCTTTTCTTCCCTGGTACCAGTTCATCCCAGATTCTCAACCAGAAGAGTAAACCTCCTGTTCCCCCCAAGCCCCGCCTGTAGTCCAGCCATCTCTTCTCAGGGTTTGTCCCACAGGTCCGTGTCTGGGAGTGTGGGGACTTGCAGCCCTCCTGTCCCCTCCCATGACGCGTCTTCCTGGTCCCTTCCTCGTGAGATGGAGCGCATCCCCCTATGGCTTACAGAGAAAGGATGCTTGGCAGGCACAGTATCAGTGACTGTCCCTGGGCAAAAGTGACTATTCTACCCCCATCCTTTCTTTTAAAGTTCGAGTGTAGAGTTCTAGTTGGAAATAATTTACCCTCGGGATTTTGAAGGTACAGCTACATGGCCTCTTAGGGTCCAGGGCCAATGCCATTGTTAGGTCAGGTTTTTCAGGTAGGATCTGCCCCCTGCCTCCCTGCCTCCCGCACCAACCTTATAGGATCTGTGTCCAGCATTGCGGTGTTTCATGGCCACGAGCCTCCATGTGGGTCTGTTTTCATCCCTGACCTGGGTCCTCTCAGTCTGGAACTTGCCGTCAGTTCAGAGCCCCCATGAGTCTCGCTTTCCTGGCAGTTGGGCTGCCACACAGGCTCAGGAGCCGTTCTCGTTTGGCAGGTACAGCACTGCCAGCCCCACAGATTTGTCAAAAGAATCTGGAAATCTGGGCATTTCTGTGGAATACATACTCTTTTTCAGTGTGCTCTGCAGAACATGGCACAGGTTAGCCTGGGAGATGCAGATAGAGCTTCTGTTCTTGCTGCTTCCAGGATGTGCTTCCAGGCAGGAGGTCATCTTCAATAGCCTGTGAGAGAGTGGGTTTTGCCAAGGCTGCCTTTGCCAGGCAGCCCCTTGTGCCTCGCAGAGCCTTACAGCCTCTTCTGGGCCTTGCCTCTGGCCCACATCCAAGTCTGCTGCAGGACGGTGCCCGCCAGCCATGCAAACCCAGTGGTGAGATTCACTCTGCCTGAGAAGGGTGGTGGTCTTATGCAAATGGTCTTCAGGAAAGACAGTGCCCCTGGGCCTCGAGTGACACTTGCCCATCCTGCAGTGGTTTGTTGAACGACAGAGCCCCAGGACCCCTTGAGGACAAACAGGCTGCATGCCTTGCTTCTTGCACATGGCCCTGATGCCCAGCCGCACCAGGACCCAGGGCTGTTGTGTTCAGACACTGTTGACCTTGAGCGAGCTACAGGGAGCATGCCCAAGATGAGAGGGCTACCAGCTTGGCTTCAGGGCAGCTCCCAGAAACCCCTGCGCAGACTTGAAACCCAGCACATGACCATTTACAATTCACTGAGGAACAAGAACCAGAGGGAAAAGCCAAGGGTACTGTGCCCCCGGCCCAGGCCTCGGCCACAGTGATTCACTCCTAAGGGAAACGTGATTCCTTGAGGGGCCAAGAAATACAAAATGAAGACCTCAGCTTCCAGGGCACTGGCTCTCAGGTGGCTGCTGCACAAGAGCTTGTCACACACAGGCCCCAGAGCACCTGAGCACCTGGTTGGTAGTGGGCTGGGCCCTACACCTGGCGTTCAGTAAGCTTTCAGCATGTTCCGACTCAGAGCCAGGTTGGCAGGGCCCTCTCATCTAACAGAACGTGGAACTTGAATCCTGGTGTCAGTGCAATGTCTCCACTTTGCCATCTGCTGCCTTAAGTTGGGGGCTTCCCAGGTGGAAGAGAAGCTGGCCCTTAGCAGGTGGTGCTAAGGCCTCAGGCCCACCTCCAGCAGAGCATGACAGCAGTGAAAGGCCAGGTGCAGACACGGCTCAGAGAGAGCCACCCATCATGTTGGTTGCCTTAACATCGGCCCAGCGCTGGAGGATTCAGGCAGAGGCCAAGCGGCCAGTCCACTAGGAAGCTGGGAGGTCCCTGCATGGGGCAGAGACACCCAAGTGCCCTCCACTCTGCAGTTCCGGGGTCCTCTGACCAAGTCCAGGCATCTCCTAGAAGAGCAGGGGCAGAAGTCAGGCTGGAAGAATGTGGTCCTGCCGGCTTTCCACAGCACAGCCAGAGGGTGAGGGCGGCCAGCCAGCAGATCCCACAGGAAGGCAGCGTGCGCCCTAAGAAGGTGGCCCATGCAGGGCTGGGAGCTGCTGCAGCTGTGTGGGGCAGGGCAGGACTTTGGGCTGCTGGCCGGGGGATACAAAGTGAACAAACTGGGGAGTGACTGGAGCAGGCAGCATGTACCTGAGGCTCCTAAGACGGCACAGCAGTGTGGAGCCCCTAGCAGCACGTGGCACCGCAGAGCAAGGAGGAACAGCTGCTCAGGGCTGGGGCGGCCGAATTGGACACTCATAGGACAGGTGTGGCAAGAGGCTAGTCACACTCCCCTGGTGTGAAGGAACATAGTCCCAGTGCCAGTGCCCAACGGCCCGCAGCAGAGTGGAGCATGGACTCAGTCCTCAAGGCAGATGAAGACGATAGCAGCCACCTTTATTCCTGCCCTGTGCTGGTGGCCCCAGCACAGACTCCTCCCTTGCAGGAGAAGCACACAGTGAGGATGCTGCTGAAGTGGCAGAGCTGGTCCAGCTTCCGGCCCTGCACACCACTGTTGGGCCTCAGGCCAGCAGCTGTGGCCCATGGCCTTGCCTACCTCCTGGCGGGGTTGGAGGGACTCAGTGACCTAATGCAGGGACATCGCTCAGCCTGCTGAACACTGCATGTGCTCACTAGACATCCTGGGCACAAGGGAGGTACCAGATGACTATAGCTCTGGGTGGTGCGTTGTTGCTGAGGCCAGAGAGGGGGAAGCAAGACACATGCTCCAAGAGGAGGAGAAGAGAAAGGTCCAGCATGGGGGATGGACAGGTCTTCTGCAGGAGTAATTACAACAGGCACTTAGCAAGCACTTAGTGCATGCCAGGCCCATGCTAAGCCTTCATTTTCTTACTTGGTTCTGGCCATAGCCCAGCTTGAGGTTTGGAGAATGTGATTTTCCAAGGTCACACAGCAGGCAAGGAGCAGAGCCAGGACTGATCCCAGTTTTTTCTGGCTTCCGAGCCTAGGCACAATGTCAGGGGATGGAGAAGCTCACACAGTAGACTTCATTGAGTTCATCCAGTGCTTGGACCTCAACACTCCTGTGTCTGAAGTACTGCGTTTGGCGTCTTGTATACCTCCTGCCGCAGAGAACTTAATCTTTACTCTAACCTCAGATGGGCTGAGGGCTCTCACACTCCTTGCCCCCAGCACTCATGGGCTGATCCAGTTCATCCAAACAGTGGAAGTAAAAATCTTTCAAAAAGCAAGATCCAGTGAACAGAGTCAAGTGGTGCCAAGGGAGGCCCCAAGACAGTGCAAGGTTTGCATGGAGCTGCCTGAAAACCTTAAGGGCAGCAGATGTGGCTTCTGGATAGAGATGGGTGGCGGGTTCCAGCCCAGGCCATGTGCTGTCTGCGTGCTCTCTGTCCTCACTTCCTCCACTTGCTGTGACAGCCATCCTCAGTATCCTTTGCTTGGAGAGGTGTCACCCAAGGGCCGTGTGAGCACCCAGCCATGCCTGCCCCTTGCCCTTACTTCCCTGTACCTCCCAGTGCCCTTCATCCTCCACCCACTGACCCCACTGACGTCTGCTCAGAAACCATCGCCTCTGAAAAGCCTTCAGATTTTTCTTGTTGACCAAACAGCTGCTCCCAGTGCTTGAGCCCCTCCCGCTTCCCTCCCTCTTCCTCCCACTTTCCCCTCCCCCTCTCTGTTCTTCCTGCCCCCTCCTTTGCCCCCTCTCTGCCTCCCTCTCTCCTTCCCTCCCTGGCAGTGTTTTGGGTGGGGCCATTTATCCTGCTGACAGCCAGGGGCCCAGGCTGTGTGCAGTTGTCCTGCTCTGCAGCCCTGGGGGCTTTGCTTGCCCAAGCTGTGAGGCATGTCGTATGTTTCCTGGAAACTTGAGTAAAAGCAGGAATGGCTGTCATCTCTGAGAGCAGAACACTAGTGGTTGTGGTGGTGGAGCTCTGGCTGATTTGTTTCCTATGCAGTTACTACTGAAATGCACAGGTGCACCCTGCAGCCCTGCCTTTCTTCCGTGTCTTGCTTGCTCTCACTCCATGGCCTCTCCTGTCTTTTGCCTTCTCAGTTCTTCGCACACTCATGGGACACAAAGCCAACATCTGCAGCCTGGATTTCCACCCCTATGGCGAGTTTGTGGCCTCTGGTTCCCAGGATACGAACATTAAGGTGAGTTGCCTCTCTGGAGAGCAACCTGCCTGATGGCTAGGCTTCTGTGTGCATCTGGGGGCATCTTCCCTGCTTTGCATCACCCACACCTGCCTGGGAAAGGGGATATGCAGACACTCAGGCACCAGACACTGGGTTTAGGATGCCCAGCTGGGGTGAGTGGTATCCAGGCCTCTGTCACTGTAACAAATGAGACCTGAAGTGCCCACTTTACTCTGCCCTTGGCCTAGGCTCCTGGTCATGACCTCTTATGACACTGCCCCTCTGCTCCTCTCCCCACAGCTCTGGGACATCAGGAGGAAAGGCTGTGTGTTCCGGTATAGGGTAAGGACAGCAACCTGTCAGTCTCTATGACTGTGCGGTGTGTAGGGGTGGGGACTGTAGTCCATCGTGGGTGAGACGTGGATTGTGGTCTGAAGCAGAATAGGGTGCTGTGGGTGGCCCATCCCAACCCCTTAGCTTTCCACCAGTCCCCAGAACTGTAACCGTGTTTACCCCACTGCTCTGCACTTGATTTTGCAGGCAGGTAACTGTGGTGTTCAGTAAATGAGATTCCGCCCATGGGAGTTTGGTGGCGCTGTGCTGAACTATTACTTTTAGAGATGTTCAGGGCTTTTGACATTAAAAGATGTCATTTAATTCTCGCAAAGGGGCCATAAAATATGATTCCCAAACATGATCACATTGTCCTGTAGGCCTGGGAATCTGTGGCTACATGTGGAGAAATGTCCCTGTCAGACATCTCCCAGCTAGGGTACCTTTAGGCCTGTTCCCCTGGAAGGCACCGTTGGGGCTGCGCTGGAAGAGCTGGGGAGAGGCTTGCGCAGCACAGGCCCCTCGAGTGAACTCCATGCACTGACTTCCCTCCTCAGGGCCACAGCCAGGCTGTGAGGTGTCTCCGGTTCAGCCCGGATGGGAAATGGTTGGCATCGGCCGCAGATGACCACACAGTGAAGGTAACTCCTGGCTGGAAGTGGATCTGGGGTCCAGGGTCTGCTGATCGCACCCTAGCTGAGTCCTCACCTCCCTCACCTGCCCCAAGCCTGTCCAGGGTGGGAGGTTTGTGGACAAAGAGCTGGGGCTGGATTAGAGGGAGAGCGGGCAGCCAGATGCCTCATTTGTCCCTGACTGCTACCTGCCCGGCCCTCAGCTCTGGGACCTGACTGCTGGCAAGATGATGTCCGAGTTCACTGGCCACACAGGGCCTGTCAACGTGGTAGAGTTTCACCCCAACGAGTACCTCCTGGCCTCTGGCAGCTCTGACAGGTGAGGAACAGACCACATCACCTGGGACTACTATCCTACACCCTCTCTGTCCCATCTCTCGGTCCCAAGGTGTCATATGCCTGATGAGCCCATGTAGGCCAAATTGGCTTCCAGCCACGCCAGGATTGCTCCCTGCTCCTGTCTTTCCCCCAGCTCTGGCTCCTGGCTCTGATGTCTTGGATCTGTGTTTTCACAGACAGTTCAGGGTCTGAGGCCCCAGTGAGTCCACTGTATAGGGAGACCAAGGCCACTAGAGCTCTGGGGCACGGGCCATGGGGCTCAGCCTTAATCCTGTTCACCCTCCCTCTGGTTGTGCAGGGTCAGGCCCTACCACAGCCATTACTCCTAGTGGCCCTGGTTCAAGGGCAGAGGTATCTGGAGAGAAGCTGCCTTCCCAGGCCATGGGCCTGTGTGGAGGCCTGATGGGTACTGGCTTCTTGGCACAATGGGGCTCTCTTTGCAGGACGATCCGTTTTTGGGATCTGGAGAAGTTCCAGGTGGTGAGCTGCATTGAAGGAGAGCCAGGGCCTGTCAGGTACCAACAGCTGTATGAGTGGGCCCAGCCCCTCCTCTCCCACCTCCAGGAGGCAGTATAGGGGATTGAGGGACCTTTCCTGTCCCTACTCCTGCTGCTTCTTGGTCCTGGGCTCCGATGATTTTCTGGGGTGGCGACAGGCTGGTTGTCCCGGGACCCACAGCCAACTCTCACCTGGCCCAGGAGCGTCCTCTTCAACCCGGATGGCTGCTGCCTGTACAGCGGCTGCCAGGACTCACTGCGCGTCTATGGCTGGGAGCCTGAGCGCTGCTTTGATGTGGTCCTCGTCAACTGGGGCAAGGTGGCTGATCTGGCCATCTGCAATGACCAGCTGGTGAGAGCTGAGGCGCCCACCACCCATCTCCCCTCAAGCCACCTCCCTGCCACCCCTGCTGCCGGATCTTGGCACTAGGTCCAGCCCCAGCTCTTTCATTTCCTAGATAGGCGTGGCCTTCTCCCAAAGCAACGTCTCCTCTTACGTGGTGGACCTGACACGGGTCACTAGGACAGGCACAGTGGCCCAGGACCCCGTGCAAGACAGCCGGCCCCTGACAGAGCAGCAGCCCCACCCCAGTGCCCCACTCCGGCGTATCTATGAACGGCCCAGCACAACCTGCAGCAAGCCCCAGAGGTGGGGTGCTGGGGCCCATGGAGGGCATGGGGGATGCGTGGAGGGGTGGGACTGGGCCTAACCACAGCCTTTGCTGCCAGGGTGAAGCACAACTCAGAGAGCGAGCGCCGCAGCCCCAGCAGCGAGGATGACAAAGATGAGCGCGAGTCCCGGGCTGAGATCCAGAACGCCGAGGACTACAATGAGATCTTCCAGCCCAAGAACAGTATCAGTGAGGCCACACCCCATCCTGCAGCCCTGTGCCAAATCTCGCAGCAGGGTCCTTCCCAGGGCTGGCATTGCTGTGGCTTTGCTTCACCTTAGCCACATTCCTAACCCTACCTGGGTTACCTCTGCCCTTGTCCTGTGGGCCCCACTGGGCCTTGCTCCTAGACTGAGGGTAGGAACTGAGGCACCCAGGCAGAGGTTGGTGGACCCCCAAGTGCCATAACCCTTGCTCTGAGCAGAGGGGAGCACCCCGAGCACTGGGCTGGGAAGGGCAGGGCTGAGGGCTCTTGGAGCCAGGAGTGCGATCACACTGCTGGGGAAGCACCTTCCGGGCCCACGCGCTCACTCACAGGCAGGAGCCCCGAGAACCGGCGCCATTTGTCTTGGCAGGTCGGACCCCACCCCGAAGAAGCGAGCCCTTCCCAGCACCCCCTGAGGACGGTGAGTCAGGGCAGAGCCTGGCCTCCAGGGACCCTGCTTCCCCAGCCTCTCCCCCACTGGGCCTTGTCCCTCCACCTGCCTAAAACACCTGCTGTGTCCTGGACAAGGTCCCGGCGACTAACGTGAGCCAGACAGGCAGGTGCTCTCAGCCTATGCCTGCCTAAGTGTGGGACGACAGTAGACAGACGTGTACAGGGAGTCCACCCTGGACACAGGCTGCAGAGCACAGTGAGGCTGTTAGGGACCTTGGAAGATGAGCTGCAGGAGGGGAAAGAGAGGACAGGCCTGGGGGTGGGGAGGAGGCAGGAGCACATGAGCCCCACTGGGGACAGGAAGCCCAGAAGGCCCTGGCTGGGAGTTTGGGATTTACAGTGGGAACAAAGGTGATCCACTTCAGAATGGAGTGGGCATGGGTGGGCATGGGTGGGCATGGGTGGGCCTCTCCCCCGTGGGCCCCTCCCCTGTCCTCCGTAGCGTCCTGCCCTCCATCTGGCTTCCCCTCATGGACTAAGCCTCTTCTCAGTCGCCTTCTTAAGGCTGGGTTTCCTCAGAGCCTCTCCCTCCTCCACTTCCTGTTGTCTGCTCCGCACCACAGATTCCATTCCTAGTGACAAGATGGCTCTGAAACTCCTGGGTCCCCAAACAAAACTCGGCATGGGAGACAGCCCCACCCCTGCCACCTGCCTCTCCGGGACCCCAAGCTGCTGACGGTCTCCCCTCCCCAGTTCTCCCTGGGCTCCCCGTTGTCTGCTGCTCTACCCCGCAACTACAGATTCCTCCCAGAGTCTCCCCAGGCCCTGCCCTCTCCCCGCCCATCCCTTCTCCTGGCCTAACCTGATGATCTTTTCCGTTTGCACCCAGACATGGCCACAGTGAGGGAGGCAGCAAAGCCGAGCCCAGACATGGATGTACAGTGCCCAGTGCCAATCGTACGTCCAAGCGGAGGGGCCCTGGCCCAGGCCTCCTGTGGTGGTGGGAGGCAAGGGCAGGCCTCATGCTGGCTGCCCGCTGAACCTCTGACCTCTGCAGCTCGAGGTCCCGGCTCAGCCCCCAGTCCTCACATCCACGCCTACCCCCAAGGGTGAGCTCTCCATCATCCCTGCCACTCGGAACGAGCCCATTGGGCTGAAGGCCTCCGACTTCCTGCCTGTGAGTGGGGACTGAGCCTGAGAGGTGAGGGGGCAGCCATGGGGTGAGGGCAGAGCTGTGCCGCCCGCTCCCATGCCAGTGTCTGGGTCTGTCCCTTAGGCCGTGAAGATCCCCCAGCAAGCAGAGCTGGTGGATGAAGATGCTATGTCACAGATCCGCAAGGGCCATGACACCATGTGTGTGGTGCTTACCAGCCGCCACAAAAACCTGGACACTGTGCGGGCTGTGTGGACCACAAGTGACATCAAGGCAAGTGTCCTGCGCCACTCCCACCCTCCCCGCCTGGGGCCTGGCCTCATGTCCCCCTCTGCCTTCTGCCCGAGTTTGGGGCTGAACTGAGAAAAGGCCACCTGAGGAGTGGGGGAGCCTTGCAGTTGCGTCATGACTGTCCCCACCCCCTGACGGAGCTCTCTCTGCAGTCGTCAGTAGACTCTGCCGTGGCCATCAACGACCTGTCAGTGGTGGTGGACCTCCTGAACATAGTCAACCAGAAAGCGTAAGTGGCCGTGCGGGTTGGGGGTGGTTGGAGGACCGGAGCTGCCTGTCAGTGCCACGCCCGCCTCTCCCCAGCTCCCTGTGGAAGCTGGACCTGTGCACCACTGTCCTGCCGCAGATCGAGAAGCTTCTGCAGAGCAAGTATGAGAGGTAGGGAATGAGGCCTACTAGGTGGGAGCCAGGGACGGGAAAGGACTCGGGGCCCGGGAGGTGGCTGGGAAGCATTGCAGCCCTTCTACCCCCAGGCTGGGCAGAGGGGAAAAGGCCTGTGTGTGTGCATGTGTGCCTTGTTCTGTCCATTCCCAAAGCTATGTCCAGACAGGCTGCACTTCCCTGAAGCTGATCCTGCAGCGCTTCCTGCCCCTGATCACAGACATCCTGGCTGCCCCGCCCTCCGTGGGTGTTGACATCAGCCGTGAGGAGAGGTGAGAGCCAGGCTGGTATCCAGACAGTTTAGAGAACACACGTGTCATTTGAGGCTAGGCCTCAGCGCATGGGGTCGGCGTAGCCAGAGCCTGGGTCCCTGCATGGCCTAGCTGCCCCCAAGCCCTGGGATGGCCAGGTGGTCCTGGGCCATACCCTTCTCATCTGCGAAGGGGTAGAGTGGAGAGGACACAGAGGCCCCAGGGCTGGGGGTGAATCTCAGTGGCCATGCCGACTTCCTGAGGCCCGGGCCCTCTGCCCACAGGCTACACAAGTGCCGGCTCTGCTACAAGCAGCTCAAGAGCATCAGCGGCCTCATCAAGAGCAAGTCCAGCCTGAGCGGCCGCCATGGCAGTGCCTTCCGGGAGCTGCACCTGCTCATGGCTGCTTTGGACTGAGGGACTCAGTGGGCGGGGCACCAAGCAGCCCTCAGGGCCTGGCCTCCCCCCTTTGCCTGTGCCCACTAGCCCAGGAGCCTCTGCCCGGTGTCTGCTACTGCCAGAGGCCATCCTGGAGGTGGCGGAGTGGGCCCTGACCGTGTTCCTCCTTCAACAGCTGCCCAGCTTTGCCCAACTTGTTTCTTGGGACAGCAAACACAGCCCCGGGGCTGCTGCTATAATTTATAGGCAGGTTTTATTAAATTTGTAACTGTTCCCTGTTTTGTTGTGCAAGGGGCATCCTCTGGCCATGCAGCTCACCCATGATGGCCTGCTGTGCCAGGCTGTGTGGCCAGGAGGGGGCAGCAGAGTGACAGGTGTGCCAGCTTAACTCTGAGTGTGAAAGGGGAGGCAGTTAAGCCCCCCACACTAGGAAACAGATGAGGCTATCATCCATCTCTGCCACCCTGCCAGAGGTCCTTGAGTCCCTGCAAGATTCCAGGACCTCAGCCTTATAGACATGGCCACCAGTAGGCTGGTACAAGGCCAGAAGGGTAGGTGCACCTTCTGCTGAGGGCTCCAGACAGCTTCTGTTCCCTCCAGGAACCCCTGAGGCTGCATGGTGTCAGGGTCAGGAGGGGTACCGGGGGAGTGTCGAGTGTCGGGCTCATCTCTGGCCAGTTTAATCAAGGAAAGTCTGGGCTGGAAAGAGGGCAGGTTGGAGCTCCTGCATGGTATGAGCCTCAGCAAGCCTTAAAGCTCTCTGGGGCTGTAGTTTCCCACTTATCACATGGAGATGACACTATGGGATAAGCAGATATTGCAGCACACAGTAGGTACCTCATAAGGGTAACCTTGACCATAAACAGAAGGCAGCCCTTACTCTGGGGCAGAGACAATGATGACACCCAGGTTCCCTGGTTCAGGCCGTTATTCCTACCTGAAGAAGATGGGCTCTGAAAGCCCATAGGTGACCAGCCAGTGCTCCATCCCCTGAGACCAACACTTTCAAAGGACACTTGTGTAAAAAGGTTTTTATTTTAATAAAAATGGCTAAGCTTCCAAAAGTTCTTAAATAGGATTTCTGAGGGAGGGAGGAGTATGTCAGGAAGCCAGTGAGCAAGGAGAATGCCTGCTGCCAGGCAGCTGAGAGGACAGAACCTTGCCCACTGGCCTCCTGCCAGTTATAAATACAGCCCGGCCATGGCAGGTACCTGGGCTTCTGTGTACACCTAGGAACACGATGTACACGCCCCTGTGAGATGCCCTTGTGCAGGACAGCGGCGTCAGGGCTCCCCTTGCCGTCCACCAGCTCAGGCCTGTACCAGGGTGCTCCTGTACCTTCCTGGAGGCCCTGCAGGACGCACATGAGGAGGGGGCTGCCCACCCTCAGGCGCGGGAAGGGAGCTGGGCCAGTCCAGCAAGAGGCCTGCCCTCCCCATGAGGGCCAGCTCCTGTGCCCAGAGCCCACAAGGCCAAGCAGGCACTCCTCCCCTCCGGTCCGTGCCGTTTGTGCCAAGTGACACCACTTCCTTCTCAAGGAGTTTCTCATCTGTGCATCAGAGCAGGCGGGCCTCCACTTCCATCCCTGATGCTGCAGCAGGAGCAGGCCAGGAAGGCCTCAGGCCCCGCTCCAGGCCCAGCAGGTTGACACATCCTCGTCCTTATACAGGCACTGGCTTCAACTTCCCTGCGGGGGAGACAGAGGTCCTCAGCCATTGCATTGGTGGGTGGGCCCACGGCCGTGCAGGGGCAAGAAGAGCAGGGAGCCCAGCAGAAGCACGCAGATAGCAGGCAGCAAAGCACAGGCCCTGCCTGAGCAACTGAACCTGCGTAGCCCTTCACCTGCAGCGGGTGGTAGGTGTGCAGCAGGCAGCCCTGGGCCGCTGGCCCCACACTCACCTGGAGACTGCAGCCCCAGCCGTCAGGCTGAAATCAAAGTGACAGGCATCTCACTGGTGGGCTTGTCCTGTCCCACCAGGGCCCTGCCGCCCCCACTCCTCTAGAATCCAGGGCTGGACAGGACCTTGCATAAGGGGAGCCCACTCCTCACGTGAAGTGAGCTCTGAGCTTTCTGCCCCTCATCCCATAAGAACACCAGCATCGAGGCCCAGGGCAGGGAGGGAGCCTGCCATGGAGGGGCTGTGCATGAGCCCGGGACAGCCAGCTTGAGAATCTTGTCCTGGCACCTCTTTATACCACCTCTCTCCTGTGGCCCAGTTTTCCCATCTGTAAAATGGACACAGTGCTGCTTGCCCTGACTGCTTCTGGGAGCTGGGTAATGTGAGACTGGCTTTGAACTTTTATAAGATTTTTAAAAAGGAAAGAAGGGGAAACAGTGGCTGTGACAATCGTGTGTGGAGAGCTCACCTGAGGGCTGCAGCTTCCTCCGGATGGAGCCAGGACGGCTGGAGGTCCCAGAAGCAGGGGCCGAGTGTGCTCGTGCTGATGGCTGTGGTGTCTGGCAAGCTGGCTCCAGCTGTGAGCAGGAAGGGCAGGTAGGCTGGGGTCTATGGCAGACCCGGCTCCTCCCCACCCCCACACTGTGCGTCCCTCCGCTCCTGAAACTCGGTTTCCTCATCTGTAAAATGGGCATGATGAAGATGCTCCTGCCTCACAGAGTCCGTGTAAGAGTTAAAGGAGAATCTATGTGGAGAATCGGCTCCTGCTGTGCACCCGCCATGTGCCAGGCCCAAGGACTAGCTGATGAGCTACAGGTATTCCAAAGCCAAGACAGACTTGGACCTCTTGGGGCCATTGTGTTTGATTCAAGTTGTAGCTCTGCCCCCAGGGCAGCTTCTTTCCGCCTCCACCCCAGGCTGCCACCCCCACTCCCCCTACAGCTCTCCCCATAATGTGACCCACAAAGCTAGCCTGGGGCCAGCCTGAGGCAGCCCGCAGGGGACCCCTACCTCCAGATGCTCCTGACTCGACCAGGACCTGAGCTCTGTGTGGCGAGACCCGGGGCCCAGCTCCACGGAACGCACTCTCTCAGCGAACCTGAGGGAGTACAGCGTCTCGCCAGAGTTCTTCTCCACAGGGGACACCTAGGGGACATGGGAGGTCACGTCCCATCCAGGCCAGCTGGCTGCCTCCTCAGCACAGAGCGGGCAGCACGGTTCCCAGAGGGCGTTGTGAGGGCAGGAGCGGTGACAGGAAGGTGAAGGGCACAGACACCAAGTGCCGCGCCTGTGGCCAGCTGTGTGTGCGGCTGATGGGAGGGCACAGGAGGCTGACGCTGGAGCTGCCCCTGACCGGGGCCCTTCCCTGCCCACTCCAGGAAGCCCGCACACCTGCACAGCCAAGGGCAGGGAGTCCCCAGGCCCTCACCTGCACCACCATGAGGGTCTTGCTGTCGCCGTTCAGCGAGTCCTGCAGCAGGTAGGTGAGCTTGGAGTTGCGGAAGGGCACGTGGCCCTGGCGAGAGCGCAGGGCGGCAATGACATCCCCCAGGGCCGACAGTGACTTGTTGATATGCTGTGCCTCCCGCAGGCGGCTGCCCTCAGCCCCTGACTTGCCCACACGCTCTGAGCCAGCCAAGTCTACCAGGTTCAGCTTCCCTGCAGAGAAGGCACCAGGGAGGTCAAGGCTGCCCGAGGGGGTCCCGGGTCCCAGCCCAGCTACCATCCCTTACTCACCCGTGGTACGGAGGCCTGTGCTGCAGTCCCGGCCCCGCACCGTCACGATGAGCAGGGCGTGTGAGCGGGAGCTGTGCTCGTTCATGTTGGTGAACTCTGTGGTGCGGTTGTTGTGACCGAACTCAAACACCTGTGTGGCAGGCAGAGCACAAGTTTAGACCGAGAGCCGTGGGGTCGCCTGTCCTACAGCTCCCTGCCGAAGGGAGGCTGCGTGCACAGACACGGCACAGCCTGCTCTCATGTCCCCTCCTGTCCTCCTCTGGAGCAGCTCTGCCTGGGGCTGCGTCAGGGTCTCTCTAGCCCCTCACCTTGTTGATGTCATCCACACTCTGCACCCGGAACTCGGTCAGCCCTGGCACATACAGCCGCCCGCTGCCGTCGGGGCACAGCCGAATCTCCAGCTTCTCCTGAGGCTCTGTCCCCAGCAGGTCCCTGTAGGGCAGACAGGACAGTCACGCCTTTCTCCCACTTCTGGTCTCCACCTGCACTGCACTGGCGTCCCAACCCAGAACACTCTCCGCACCCCTCACACAGCCTTGAACAGCAGCAAAGCCTCCCTCCTCCAGCTCCTCCCCTGCAGTCAGCCAGAAATGGGGAGACCAACTGATCCCCCACAGTCCTGTGGGAGTGCTGAGCCAGGGCCGCTTCCCACCACCCACTCATCACTACCTGGCTCAGCCCACAGGTGGAGAAGGGGGTCCCTGGGTCTAAGTCTCCCGAGCAGCTTGGTGATCGACCTGCCCAGGGAACATCTGGGCCCCAGGACTGGGTCACGCTGAATTTGGAGCATGGCCCCTTCATGGCCTCATCAGGAACCTGAGCTCCTACCAGGAAGACCCCACTGCCCATCCCTGTGGCTCCAGCCCTGCCTCAGGGACCCCAAAGCTGCCAGGACAGCACTCTCAGCGCCCTAGGCCCACCTGAGGACCTCATTGTAGATCTCGGTTACGCTGACGGTGATAGTGTACTCCCAGTCGGCCGCCTTCTCCTGCACCTCGGAGAAGAGCAGCTGCAGGGCCCGCTGGTTGATGCCTGGGTTCTCAAGAGTCCCCTGGGGGTGGAAGACAAGGCCTCAGTGACCCCACAGACACTTGCATGCCATCTGTCATCCCCAAGCCCTCACAGGTGAGCCTCCCTGGCTGGCGCTGTTCCACCCCTCAGAACATGCTCCACCTACTGCAAAGCAAACAACTTTGGTTTCCCCTCTTTTACAGCAGCATCACCCTTCGGGATGGTCCTATGATCTAAAGCAAAGGAATGGGGAGGCAGGCCTGGCACGGCTGTGGAGACTAGACGCACCCCTGCCCTGCCAGGACCTGGTAGAGGCAGCGGGAATGAGTGAGGTCCCTCCTGCCACCCACATGAGGTGCAGCGTGAGGAGGCCATGAGCGGGGCTGTGTGGGTGGTGGATGGCAGCGAAGCACAGCAGCCAAGGGCCCTGGGGCCTCTCCAGCAGGAAATCTGGAGTCCCCACTTGGATCCTGGAGGCTCTTGGGAAGTGTGGCTCTCTTCCCCCACCCCCATTCCTGCTGAGAAGCCTCCGACCAGGCCTCAAATGCACTTCCTGATCTCAGCCTATGGTTCCCTGTCAGAAGCTGCCTCCCCAGACAGCGGAGGCCGGCTCCACGGCTCCCTCAGGGAGGCTGCCCTGGCCCCAGACGCCCTTGTTAGAGCCTCATTTATGCTCCTGGCACCTGATGGACATCTACCGATCTGCTGACTCCCTGATGCATTTGGGGGACCACACACTGCCTGCTCACACTGGGGTCCCAACTGGCTGATGCCTGACACACCTCAGGCCAAAGCAGAGAATTACGAGGATAAGTACCATGGGGTCCCAGTGGTCACCTCAACTCTGTGCAGCCCTAAGACAGCTGCATACCCCCACTTCCTCATCCACCTCGGCTCCCCTAGAGCTGGGTAGACAGGAAGGCCCAGGCTGGGGGCAAGAGGGCCACCACGGTCAGCTCTCAGAGGGCACACCAGCCCATCCGGACCTCTTACCACCCTGCCTAGGAGATCCCACACCTTCTGAGGAGCGGGGAAATCACCCCTGAGGGCCAGCTTCCCATTTTTCTCTCTCCATACTCAAGACCCCTCCTCATCTCAATGCCTCCAGTTCTTGGCTGCTCCCATCACATAGCGGGGAGGGGCTGGCCACAGTGGGGAGGCATGGGCCTGCCCTCAGAGCAGGGCTCCTCACGGCATGATTTAAGTATCCCGTGTCCCCCCAAAGACTCCTGCATTGAGGGCTTGCAGCAGTGCGCAGAGGCAGGGCCTACACAGGGGATCAGATCATGAGGGCTGTAACCCCACCCCCACCCCACCCCCGTGGATAATCTGCTGGGGCCCTACTTCGTGCAGAGACAAGAGGTGTGGCCTAATGAAGGGAGTGGACCATGGGGCGTGACCTCAGGATGGGGC